CTCCTCTGCCTCCTGCCCGGCACTCTCAGGGCTCCTCCTCCTCCACCCCCACCCCTGCCCTGGGGTCTTAGCCCTCAGGGCGGGAGGGACAGGAGGAGCCCTGTGGTGGGACCGGCTGCCCCACCCTTCCCGCCCTCATCCCAGGCGAGGGCCGCACTGAGACCCCGGAGTGCAGGCCAAGCCCTTAGGCGCCCTCACCTGTGCCCCGGCCCTCAGGCTCCAAGGCATCGCCAGGATTGAGCTCCTCAATGAGGGGGTCACCGTGTTCCCTGCGGATGACGCTGTAGGAGAAGAGACAGGCCGGTCATGGATAAGTAACTAGCTGGCGAGGCCCCATGGGGCACCTGGACCGAGAGGCCTACTTGCTTACTCCAGTCTCTGTCCCTGAGCATCCCCCGGTCCCACTGTGCTTGGGCTGCCACCTGCATGCCTATGAGCCACGCTTTGGTCACAAACCCTGCCTACACCCTGCCTGTCCTCTTCCCGGGTTTTCATTTGCACTGGGAAATACTGAATTTTCCTTCTCTAATGGATGGATTATAGACAGTCTGGGGAAGGACAGTTGATGGAGAAGGGACAAGGACAGCTACCTTCAAATGACCTTCACTTTCCTTCAAGCGGCACTGGGTTTCCAAGTTCTAGATGGTACCCAGGGTTCAAACCTACTCAAATGCCACCTCCCCCAAGTTCTCCCTGGTCGTCCTGCTAGAGGCAACGCCTTTCTGTCTGCCGTTATCACTTGCCTGGCCTTTATCACTTGCGCCTGTGTTAAAGCTCTGTATGAATGTGTCTTATCTCCCCAGTTAGACCGCGAGCTCTTTGCAGGCTGGGACCATGTATTATTCATCTTTGCATCTCCCACAGCATCTAACATAGTGCCTGGCTCTCAGAGAGCCCCAAGCACACGTCTGTGGGATTCATGGATGAATTTCAGATACAAAGGGAGGAAACCGGTCCCTTTGGGTTGCAGGGCTTCTGTCTATTTTGAACTTGAAATCACAGTAATATTTGCTCCAGAAAAGTCCACTGTGAAAGTCCTGCTCTTTCTCCACACTGAGCTGACTGCTGCTGATGGCTGTGAGCTTTCTTCTCTAATTTTTTTCGTTAGATTCTCCCAGTCTTGGGTGCTCTGCCCTAGATATGTGGAGCAATGCTGGGGGGCAAACAGGGGACTAGGGGATCTGTATTACCATCCCCTGCACTCCCCCACATCGCAGGTGACGGTTGTCTGCCCAAATCACAGAGTTACCAATGGGCTGTGATGTAGCCAGTGTTTCAGGAGGGAACTGGGGACCTTGAGCTGGAGCCTATGGGGTCTGGATGGCAGAGAGTGTTGGCACAACTGCAGGCTGTTGGCAGGGCTGAGCAGATGCTCTGAGAGATGTCCTCTGTCCACGCAGGGCATCTGTGCTGAGCACATCCACCTGCGCAGTCTGGGCAGTGGGCAGTGGGCAGTGTGCCTAGTTGCACTTGGCTGTGTGCACACCTGCTGGAGGTGTGTACGCCTCAGCCTGCTAACACCACAGTCCCTTTCACCACTTGGGTCCTGCAGACTCTGTCACAGCTGGGCAGAGACACCCCTTGGTTCAGGTGATGGGCAGTTAAGGGCTCCTAAGGATAAAGTCCAGCAGTCCTGCTGCATTTCTGTATTCACTGAACAAGTTATTTTGCAGCAACTTCTGTGTGCTGGGCACTGCATGGGGGGGCCTGTGGCTACGGTGTGCATCGGGAAGGAAGGAGCTCAGGATCCACGACCACAGGAAATCTCATGCAGAGTGCCCAAGGACAGGGAGAGTGAGGCTGAGGGGAGGGCGGAGCTGGGCAAGCTCACCCAGATATGGGTAACCAGGGCAGGCTTCCTGGAGGAAGGGCTAACTAAGTTGAGACAAGCATCCTGAGTGAGTACATGTCACTCAGATGAGGGAGGAGTGAAGGAGAGGGTGTGGGGAGTGAAGACGAGGGCCCAGGTCTGGCACAGCCTAGAACTGAAAGAAGCTGGAGGGTGCCTAGTGCTTAGTGGTAATTGGGGAAGCAGAGAGCATGGAGGCTGGGGACAAAACTGGTAGGCATAGGATGTGTCAAAGAGGAGGCTTCTAAAAAGTTTCAAGTGGAAGAGGGGTGTGGCCAGATTTGCACTTGCTGTGCAGGACTAGACACCGGGAGATGGCCGGAGGTGAGTATAGGAGTCCCTTAGAGAGCAGGGGTGGCAGAGGGTGGAGAGAAGAGAACAGATCAGAGGCGCATTTAGATGGGTAAGTGGTGTGACCATGCACGTCCCAGTTGGTGGCTCTTGTCCTGCCATTATTAATAGGACCCCTTGCGCTCTCATTAAGCATCCAGTTTGGGCGATGCTTTCCCTGGTCACCCTAGGCGTTGCTGGAGGACTCGCAGACTCAAGCCCAGTGAAGCTTTGAGTCTCCAGTGCCTCCTACAATGGAACGAGCCCACTGTGTTCCATTCAGGACAGGGACAGGTGGAGGCCAAACTTCCAGAGTTGCCAGCTGCATGGGCGCCTCAGTTGCATGCTCAAGACCCAGTCATCTACCAGAGGACTTGGGGCACAGCCATGTACCTGGGAAGTGGCTTCCACTGCTGCTACATAGAAGTAAACACACTAACTCATGGGGCAACTGCGTGGTGACACTGTCTAAGGACAGCCCTGTGCCAGCCGGCCTTTGGAGTGGCCCAGAGGGAGGTTTGACAGGGACTGGGCAGGAGGGCAGGTGCCTGGGTTCTTGGGCCACAGAGATGAGAGCACTAGACTCCTTGGTGATCAGAGGCCCTGGCAAGTGACACTTTATTAGCCAGAGAAGGAAAGCAGTGTCTCTGTTAACGAGTAATTGATCTTCCGCAATTAATCTGGAAGTTGTGAATAAGCTCTTTGCAAGGCACCTAATTAGTAAATCTAGTGCCTTCAGGGGGTGATTACATCCAGTCAAGATTGATGCTTTGTTAATACTTATATTTTAAATGCGCTTAGTCACAGCTCTCACCTTTTATTAATAGTTGGGACGCCCCTGGAGTAGGGAATGGGGACCTGGTGAGCCCAGCAGGTGGTCTGGCCCATTTCCTGAATCCAAGGCCCCTGGCCCACCCTCTTTTCCCCACTTGGTCCTGAGCCCCATTAGCATGTTTTATACCAGCAAGAGGGCCATCTCAGGCCACATGAGTTCTGAGGTTTGTTCCCTAACAGTGGTTCTCAAGCTTTATGCCTGAGGCCTAATGCACTTGTTAAAAATACAGATTCCTGGGCCTCACCTCCTGAGATTCTAATTCAGGAGATCGAGGTGGGCCCTGGGATTCTATCTTAAGTAAGTGCTCTGGGTGATTCTGATGAAACGGTCTCCAGGCCCCTCTTAGACAAGTGTTGCCTTGAAAACCCAGTCCTTCCTCCCTAGACACAATGCCCAGAAGTGAAAATACTTATGGTCATGCTAAAGGCTCTGAGAAGTCCTGCAGTCAATAGACCTGCCTGTATTTGCTTGACCCAGGTGTACCTAAACAGATTTGACTGTAACCACTTTTTGTGGTAGTGGGAATTTCTAACCTGTGGAGCTTCTGGACCCACTTTGGGCCAAATCCCTCTGCCCATTATTCCCCCTGCACCAGGAATTCTGGGTTCCCTACCCAGAATTCACCCTCCATGCCTGCAGCCTCTTGCTCAATCTCTGTTCTGCCCTTCATCAGGGCGCCTTCTTCCACCTCAGCCCCTGGGGCTCCCCTTCTGAGCCCTACACCTTCCTCCCTTGACCCCCAGCTCTCAAGGGTGGGTGGGCATGAGCCAAGCTGAAGCATCTACCGGAAGAGGCGGTTGGCTGAGGAGCTTCGGTGGGCAAAGTTGTTGAAGAAGATCTCTAGCTCCTGGTCATTGTCAAAGTCGGCGGCGATGACTGTGCGGACAGGGGAGGGCATGGAGAACTTGGGTGAGGCGATGTCCTGGGAGGAGAGAGGGCTGCAGGTCAGCAGACAGATATGTGGGAGAGTAGGATTTGGTGAGAGGCTGATTCCCCCACTCTCTGTGTGTGTGTGTGTGTGTGTGTGTGTGTGTGTGTATAGTCAAAGATAAGACAGTTCGACCTAACACCACATCCCTCACCTCCCAGGTAAGGGACTGGGGGGCTGTGTTTAGGACCACAGAAACCTCAGGCTGCTTATAGGACAAAGAGGTAAAAGGAACAGTCCCAGTTCACACCAGTGAAGCACTTGGCTGTTCCTAATTGTGATCACATGTAGCCCTCCCATCTGTTACTTGAGGAAGTGCAGATATTAGCATTCCCATTTTACAGGTGAGGTAACTGAGTCCTGGAGAGGGAGGGGAATTGCCCATAGTCGTAGGGAATGAGTAGGGCCATAGCCAGAGCTTCTGATTTCAGGTGTTGTGCCCTTTCTAGTACACATCCTTACTCCTCCTTAGTGAGAGTCAGAAGCTGGGTGGATACAGGAAAGGGCTGTGCATTTGAACATAGACTTTTCTGCTAACGAGCTGTGTGATCTTAGGCAAGTTACTGAACCTCTCCGATCTAACTTTCCTCACCAGTAACATGGGAATAGTAATAGCGGCCCATGTAAAAGGCTTGGCACAGGGTGGGCATGAGAAAGATTACAGGCAGTCTGTCCTGGCCTTGCCCCTGCTCTCAGCCTCATGGAAGGTGGCAGAGGCTGCCTTTGGCTGTATTTTTGCTGTCTCTGTTACCTTATGTTGTTTCTTGAGGGTCTTTTAATTTTTTTAAAGACATTTGCTTTGAGAGGTTGCAGAAATGCTTGTCCAGGGCTCAGGGGTCCCCAGACTCCAGATAGCCCTTCTGGGACCCCAAAATGTGGGCAGGGCCTGGAAAAGGGTCCCAGGTGTGGGACTTGCCTTTGAAATAGGAGAGCGGTGTAGGGTGACCTTTAGACCCTGGGAGCCTAAGTCCCAGGGTCCACATGGGGAGGGTTGGGAAGGGTACGGTGGTGTTTCTGGGAGTGCCCCTCTGCCCTTAGGCCTGGCCCTGCCCCTGGGCCTCATACTGTGGGTCCCATCCCTTGGCTGCAGGAGTGAGCTGGCCTGGGACAGCTGGCAAGCTGCCTGTCCTGGGGAGGCCAAAGAGGGAGGTTGTCCCCATCAGCGCAATAATGAAGCTGATTAAGAGCCCCGCCAGCTGGCCAGGGAGGGCTGAGCAGGGCCTGAGGCTGGGGAACAAAGAGCCTCAGTATCTCTAACTGGTTATTATGCTATTGATTCTGTAGAAATGGAAACCTGCATAGCCCCCGTGGGGCTGCCCCCTGGACGCCTGGGCTTCCAAGATAATGCATGTAAAGCGCTTAGCGCAGTTCCTGGCACATGGAAAGCGCTTGATAAATGAGGCATCTGTTATTATTATTATTGCTCCTGTGAGCTCTGGGGAGTAGCTATCGGGGGTAGTAGGGCTCATACACCCAGCACACTGACATCGGGGCTGGATCATTCTTCGCTGGGGGGCTGTCCTGTGCATTGTAGCATGTTTAGCAGCACCCCTGGCCTCACATACTATATGCCATAGCACCCCCTGTCCCATTTGTGACAACCAAGAAGACACTGTTCAATGTCTCCAGGTGGGGGCAAAATTGCCGCTGGTTGAGAACCTGGGTTAGAACAGAAAGCAGAATAAAGATGAAAATCATCCATGATCCCAGGATCAGTGGTCCCGAGGTCAGGGCTCTTCCCCACCCAGACAGCCAGGCTCTCAAACCTCTGCAGGGAGCAAGCAGCTGTGCCTGGGCACCCAAGGTGGCTGCCTACGGGGGAGGGAGCTGGTGGCAGTCACCCAGACACAGGTTCCTGGAGGCTTCCCTGGGACCATCGAACCTCAGGCAAAGGCTGGAACTTTCTCACTCCCTTAGGGATTTCTGGCAAGACCCAGGCACCTCCAGAGCAATTCTGACTCCTCGAGATCAGCTTCAGCCCTGCATTGCCCTCCACTACCCTTCTTGAGAAAGCCCCAAACTCAAGCTCATCAGGCTGGTGGCACATCCATTACTGTCACCAAACAGTCCCTTTGAAGAATTCTTGGAATCATAGTCTATTGACAGCTCAAAGAGGGTATAGAGAGGGATTTGCCCACCCTCTGCTATTTGTCCTTAAGGGGCAGCTATTGGATCTGTGGCCTCAACCTCCTCCACATCCCTACTCCCCATATCCCCACTTGGCTGGAACCTCAGTTTGCAAAGCTCAGGCTGGGCTACTGATCAGGTTTTCCGCATCTAGAGAATGAAGTGTCCCTCACAGAACCTCCTTTGCTCTGCCCATCTTGGGGGGGGCTGCTGTCCTTCCCCTGCCACTGGCTTTCTCTGCTCTGGCCACTAGAGATGTCACAGCAGCCCAGGATGGAGTCCATCGTTGTCCCCCAGATGTTACCTTCCTTGTGGCTCCCCACCCCTGCCCCCAGGCTCTGCATAGCCACCAGCTCCTTCTCAGCCTGGTGGGAGGCACCGGCAGGGCTGTAATCCCAGGATCTGTCAGGGCCACTCACAGTGCTAGGTGGCAGAAGGGAGGGAGGGTGGGAGGGAGAGGCTCC